GCCTGTGAGGGGGCAAGAGTGGGACAGGAAGCCACCCCCCCCGCCAGTGCACAAATTTTTGTGCACCGGGCCTCTAGTATAAGATAATAAGAGTTACTTGAACACAGGCACTGTGATACTGAGATATTTGATCTGATAACTGAGATGGATACTGAATAAATAACTCACAGTGTATGCAGTGTGGATATGCTGAACAAAGGGGCTGATTCCTGTCCAGAGTGGAATGGGGTGGGGTGGATCAGGATAGCACAAGCTTTCATCATGCTACTGAAACCTGTGCAATTTAAAATTTATGCATTGTTTATTTCTGGAATTTTACATTTAATGTTTTCGGGACTGTGGTTGATTGTGGGTAACTGAAAACATGGAAAACGGATCCATGGATAAGGAAGAGAATACTGTATTCTTTTGCATTGTTCCATTCATGTTTTTCATCAGTAATAGAAAAACTATAGTTTTTCATTTTTACAGGATTACTGTGCTTAGAATATTGAATTATTTATTTTGATTCATTTTTTTAAAAAGCCTAGATGACATGGTGGAAACCACTGGATTAGGAGAATATGTGGCTTGTGGTCTTGGCTTTGACCCATCTCACTGTGTGATCTTGGGCCAGTTACTATACAGTTTGTTGAAAATTGAATGTATCACTTTAGTGACAGAGCTTTATACTTGAAGGGCATTGGAATAGAAAATTTTCCAAAGTAGACATACTATTGACAATTCATCTATAAAGTTATAATGAGAACTACAGCAGTATTTTTAATAAATATGCAGATGATATTTTGTTGAGTTGAACACTTGAAACCTGTATGGTTTTGTGAACCAATGTCACAGTAAATTCAATTTTTTTAAAAGTATAGCTTTTGCTCTTACAGCTTCAAGTCCATTGGATACTGCCAAATTGTTCTCATAGTGGTGTAAACATACTCTCTCAGTAATAATTTTTGTTTACATAAATAATTTCTAATAAAGTTTTTTTGTGTTTGGAATTGTATTTTCCAAGACTAACAGTCCAATCACATTTTTCCTGTTCTTGGTTTAACAGGGTTGGGGAACCTTTTTTCTGCCAATGGTCATTTGGATATTTATAACATCATTCAAGGGCCATACAAAATTATCAACTTAAAAATTAGCCTGCTATATTTGGTCAAACATTTAATTAACTCACCCCTAATGCCTTGGCAGTGCCAGACCAAATGATTTTGCCATCCTTATACAGCCTGCGGGCTGGACATTCTCCACCTCTGGTTTAAAGAAAGTTTTCAGTGGTTTCTTATCTTTTGTGGTGTGACTATAAGGCAGTAAGATCGATTCCACTAGCCATAAGGAAATTAAATTTCATTACCTTTTATTAAGTTCATTGTTCCTAGATTTAATAACAATATGTATATTTTAAAACATCAAGTATTGCTCATTATTTTCATCAAAAACTTGCCCTTTGTTATATTTAATATTTCAAAATACAATTATTGGTATTATTCTGCAGTTTTATCATCTAATTGAATTTATTGGGGGTAACATTGGTTCACAAAAATCATACAGGTTTCAGATGTATATAGTTCAACAACACATCTACAAACTGCATCATGCGTCCACCACTCCAAGCAAAATCTCTTCTGTTCCCATTCCGCCCTCCTTTTCCCACCTCCATCTATCCTCTACCCCACTTTGCCTCTCGCTATCTTCACACTGTTGTCTGTGTCAATGTGTTGTTGTTTTTTATATAAATGTGTGTGTTTTTCTGCTGTCTTAATGATAAAGTAAGGCTACTACCAACCTCAGAAAGCAATTGTGATGGTTAGTGAGTTATTTAATGCTTTTCTACTTTTTGAATCTGTAAAATACTAAACAAAGGTTCATCATTTAAAGTTTAAAAATTGTGCCATCAATCCAGTTGAGATTTCTAGTAGTTTCCCCCCCCCAAAAAAAATCACTGGTCTTTGTCCAAAATGTAATGTTATTGCCACCCATGTCCTTTGACAAGTGTTTTAGAGAGACTTGATCTCATTTTTTGTGTAATAGTCTTAAATTGAAGTTTAGTTCTGATTTTAACTGATAAATTTTCATATTTGTTTTCATAGCCTATGAGGAGATTACATTTTCTGAATATTTAAAAACTCAAAAATTAACTCCCAACCTCCAACATTTTGTTCTGCATTCAATTGCAATGACATCCAAGACAACCAGCAGTACCATAGATGGTCTCAAAGCTACCAGAAAATTTCTTCACTGCCTTGGGCGGTATGGCAACACTCCTTTTTTATTTCCTTTATATGGCCAAGGGGAACTCCCTCAGTGTTTCTGCAGGTAAGACTGCCATTGGTTCTTTTGTTTGTTGTTAAGGTGATACTTGAATAAAGGATGAAAATTAGAAAGACAAAAATGAGATTTACTTAAGATTTAGTATTTTCAAACTTATACTTTGTTGTTCTACTTTCTTATAAACATTCATCCTGCATACCTACTTAATACCTAAATGATATATTCAGTTTGGTCTGTTTTTGAGCTTTAAAGATAGAATCATACAGTACATTTCTTTTTCCACTCAGTATTATGTTTCAAAGTATCATTCTTGTGTATAATTATAGTAAATTTATTTTCATTGCTATGCATTGTGAATTATATATTGTAAATATAGCACAATTTATTTTTCCATTTTTGTATTGAAGGACACCAGCTATTTCAAGTTTTTTGCTTTTATTAATATCCTTGTATGTGTTTCAGGCTATACATAGTCAAGAGTTTCTCTAGGATACATGCCTAGGAGTGGAATTCCTGAGGCATGGGATAGATATATGAATGTTCATTCACGATAATGCTCAGTTATTTCTCCAGAGAGTTGTATCAGTTTACATTCCCCTAACAGTACGTCAGAATTCCCACAGCTCTGCATCTTTGCCAATATTTGGTATTATCAAACTTTCTAATTTGTCAATTTACCTCACATAAAATACCATCACATTGTATGATTTTAAATTTTATTTTTCAATTACAGTTTACATTCAATATTATTTTATATCGATTTTAGGTATATAGCATAGTGTTTAGGCAATCATATACTTTAAAAAGTGATAAATTGGTAATTATATCACATTGTGTTTTTATTTTTCATTATCCAGATTACTTATGAATGTCTTCTCATATGGTCACTGGTTATTTGTATTCTCTTCTGGGAAATGCTTTTTAGTGTCTTTTGCCCATTTGTCTTTTGGGTTGTCTTTTTCTTACTGATTGTTGAAGTTTAATATATTTTGAACACTAATCTTTTTTCAGTTATATGTTATGTATATCTTGCCTTATAGTATTTATGATGCATAGGTATAAGTAAGATTAATGTAATCAGCCCTAGCCAGTTTGGCTCAGTGGATAGAGCATTGGCCTGTGGACTGGAGGGTCCCAGATTTGATTCTGGTCGGGGGTACATTCCCATATTGTGGGCTCTATCCCCAGTAGGAGGTGTGCAGGAGGCAGCCAATCAGTGATTCTCTCTCATCATTGATGTTCTTATTTCTCTCTCCCTCTCCCTTCCTCTCTGAAATCAATAAAAATATATATTTTTAAAAAATATTAATGTAGTCAGGTATTGCAATCTTTTCTTTTGTGTGTAGCATTTTTGTGGTAGTAGAGCACAGTAGTTAAGAATCTGGACTGTGAAAACAGACTGCATAGATATAAATCCTGGCTCCTCCATTTACTAGCCATGCACTCTTGGGCAAGTTTCAGAGTCTCTATTATGTTTTCAAAGAATTAACATTTGGGGTTTTTTTTATTCTCTCTGTTATCATTTGTATCCCTGTTCATTAACTTCTGCTCTTTATTAAATCCTTTATTTTCCTTTCTTTGGGTTTTGTTCAGCTCATCCCTCCTATCTCCTGTCCTTGTCAGTTCTGAGGCTGATACCCAATGAGTTCCAGTCATCTTTTTTTTTTACTTTATAATGTAAGCATTTATGATGATAAAGTTTTCACTACTGTTTTGAAGCTTACACAGTTATTATGTACTAGATGCCTGGTGCACAAAATTTGTGCACTTGGGGGGGGGCTGCCCCTCAGCCCAGCCTGTACCCTCTCGCAGTCCGGGAGCCCTTGGGGGATGTCCAACTGACGGCTTAGGCCCGTAAGCCAGCAGTCAGATATCCTAGCGCTGTGGCAGAGGCAAGAGAGGCTCCTGCCACTGCCGCTGCACTCGCCAGCCGTGAGCCTGGCTTCTGTTTGAGCATTGCTTCCCCTGTGGGGGGCAGCTCCTGCATTGCGTCTGTCTACTGGTGGTCAGTGCATGTCATAGCGAATGGTCGACAGTTCGACTGTCTACCCCCGGTGGTCAGTGCATATTATAGCGAGTGGTTGAGCGGCCTTAGCATATCATTAGCATATTACACTTTGATTGGTTGACCAGATGACCGGACACTTAGCATATTAGGCTTTTATTATATAGAATTATTCTTATTATCTTTTACTGGTAGTCCTATGTATCTTAATTCCTATTACTATTTTTTCATTGACCCATGAGTTGTTATGAAGTGTTCTAAAAGAGCTAATTTGTTTGATTCTTCTGTTTTTACCGAATTTAATTGTATTGTGTCTAGAAATTGTTTTTATAGTACTAATTCTTTGAACTTTATTTTATGACTTATTATGTCCTGAATTTTTATAATTTTTCGTGTGTTCTCGAGAGGAATGTGTTGTTGGTACATGGTTCTCTAATTATTGGTCTTGGAGTCTATTAAGTCAAGCTTCGAGTTGTAATTTTCAAACTTTGTTTTTATTGAGGACTTTTTTCTTTGACCTATCAATACAAGAGTAAGGTGTTTTGAAATCTCCCATTATGATGTTTGATTTGTCAATTTAGCTCTATAATTTTATACGTTTTTACCTAATATTTATTTTGAGGCAATTTATTAGTCATACAAATTTATAATTGTTTAATCTTTCCAATTAATTTAATATTTTACATTACCTGATGACGTTCTTCATCCCTAATAATACATTTTTCTTAAGGTCTACTTTGATATCCAAATAGCTACTTCAACTTTTGGGTACTTGTCTGTTATATCTTTCTCTATCCCTTTAATTTTTAAAACTTTTCTGAGTCTGTATTTAGAGCTTTAAATAATATATTACGTATTTTTAATTTCATCTGACGATCTTGTTTTGCTACCAGTCAGGATGAGTCCTATTAACAGAAATCTGTTCCTTCCTTCTGAAGTATGGAATTTTAAAAGTTCCTCTACTTTATATCTGTTCATGGTAAATGCTTCCTGGTTTTTGCATATATGAAAAAAACTTCTGCCTCTTTGTTTTGAGTGAAGATTTGCTATGTAAACAGTTCTAGGTTGGCAATTCATTTTTTAATTTATTGGGGTGACATTGGTCAACATGAACATGTAGGTTTCAGGTGTGGGTTTCTATTTTACAAGGTCTGTATATTGCACCATGTGCCCACTACCCAAAGTCAAATCTTCTCCTGTCACCATATATTAGGACCCCCTCCTCCCCCAACCCCCTTCCTTCTGGCAACCACCACACTGCTATTTGTGTTCACGAGTTTCAGTTTTATATTCCACATATGAGTGAAATCATATGGTTCTTAGCTTTTTCTGACTGACTTAGTTCACTTAGTACAATGTTCTCAAGGTGCATTCACGTTGTTGTAAATGGCATTATTTCATCCTTTCTTATGGCTGAGTAGTATTCTGTTGTGTATATGTACCACATATTTTTTATCCAGGCCTCTATCGCAGGACACTTTGGTTGTTTCCATTCATTTTTTGTAATTAAATATATTGCGGTGCCATTGGTTATTAGCATTATATAGGTTTCAGGTATACATTTCTATAATACAGCATATGTATATTGCATTGTGTGCTCACCACTTTAAATATTTCTCTCAGTACTTTAAAAATTTATTCCATTGATATTTGGGTTCCATTTTTGCTTTTGAGAAACTTGATGTCAGCTTAATTATGATTTCTTTATAAGTGAAATCTCTTCTCTCTCAGGTTGTTTTTAAGATAGTTTGTCTTTGGTGTTCTGCATTTTAATTCCAGTGAATTTAGGATTCCTTTATATAGGTTGTCCCCCAAAATATATACACACCTTGAATGATTATAATGTCAGTGTTTATTAACATATAATTCATTTTTAATATTTAAAAGCATCTACAGAAATGTGTAATTTTTTTTGTCAATTCCTGTTTTCAAACTGATAACCTATCTGATCTAAGCACTGCTGATAACGTGAAACAGTGGAATTGCAAACATCAAGAATCATTTCTGTCGGTATTTGTGTGCCCTCAATTCATTGACTGTTGCCAGTTTTATAACTTATCTTTTATATATCCCCATAAGAAAAATTCTAGTGGCATCTTAAGATAACTTTTCTTAGTTCAAAGTTTAGTCTGGCTTCGCCCATTATTTCAAATCAGTTAATTATGAAAAGGAGTGAAAACTAAGTGAGCTATCAGCTGTTACAAGTGTGTATACATTTTTTGGGACACTCTATGTTTATCTAGCTTGATATAGGTTGAACCATATGAAATTAACAATATTAAACCATTTGACCTATAATTTCATATGGTTTAAACAACTATATTGCATTTCCTCTATCTGTAAATTGTCATTTATCATTTTGAAAATTATCAAGCAGTATTTTTGCAATTATTGTTTTCCTCCATTGTCTTTCTTCTCGTCATTTAGTAACCCCAACCAGATATGTTTTAGAACCTAGCATTCTCTCTTTCATATTTCTCCCCCCCTTTTTATATTGTAAGCAAATAAAAAAAGGAAAATCACTTTTCTATTTCTTAATCTCTTTTTTCATATTTTCTCTCTCCTTGTCATTCTCGCTGCATTCTGAATACTTTATTAATATCTGTTTTCCAGCTTATTAATTCTCTTCACCCGTGACTAATCTGTAGTTTAACTCTTTTGACTTTAATATTTTTATCTTTCATCTCCTCCCCAAATCTTCTCTGTCATTGTTTGATATTCTCTTCCGTTTGTTCATCCCCCCACCCCCAGATCTTGGCTTTTATTTTATTTTTTTGTTATTGATTAAGGTATTACAAATGTGTCCTTATTCCCCCATTGTCCCTCCACGCCCCGCCCTCCCCCAGTCTCGCCCTCACCCTCACCTCCTGTTGTCTGCGCCCATCGCTTATGCTTATATGCATGCATACAAGTTCTTTGGTTGATCTCTTCCCCTTACCCCCACGCTCCTCTACCTTCCCTCTGAAGTTTGAGCATCTGATCGATTCTTCTCTGTCTCTAGATCTGTTTTTGTTCGTCAGTTTATGTTTTCATTATAATC